TTCCAACCCCTTCATCATTCTAGTTGCCCTTTTCTGCACCTTTTCCAATGCTACAATATAATATAATATTTGGCTGTTGACTTGCTGTATTTATCGCATTCTTATTCTATTTTTTATATATAATTTATTTTTATACTTTTGTACGGTACACACAACGCAAAAAACAGTAAAAACACCATCGTGCAAAACAGGGAAGTGTGTATCACAGAAAGTTAAAAGGTGGAACAACAGGATGAGCCCATGTTCTAGTTGTATCCTGACAATCCCGGCTATTAACAATATTGCTGCTTCAATTCTTTGTTTACTCTTTGTAGCTAATCTGATGGACCGATCAAACCTTAGTGCACAGTAATTGGAGCGATATAGACCAAACTGTTTGTGTTGTGGTTACGTGCATGGACTCTAATCTGGGAGAACCGGGTTTGAGTCCCCCACTCCTCCACTTGCACCTGGCGGTAGTTCTGATCAGAGCTGTTCTTGAAAAAGAGCCGTTTCTGCCAGAGCTCTCTCAGCCCCACCGACCTCACAGGATGTCTGTTGTGGGGAGGGGAAGGGAAAGGAGTTTGTAAGCCACTCTGAGACTCCTTCGGGTAGTGGGCGGGGCATAAATCCAATCTCTTCTTCTTCTTCTTAAGTCAATTGGAAGATTGGGAGTAGTGGCGAAATAGGAACAACCAGCTATGTTATCGTGGGTTTGTGGGAAGTATTTATTTATTTATTCATTCATTCATTCATTCATTCATTCATTCATTCATTCAACTTTTCTCCCGCCCTTCCACCAAAGCGGCTCAGGGCGGCTCCCAGCATTAATAAAACCAACATAGATACAACATCAGTCCATAAAAGTATCTCGTGCTTCATCATATAATTTATGACTGGTGCCCAGAGCCTTATGAACTTCACGTGCGGTGTATTATTTGATGTATGGGTCTCTCGGTTTAGGCCTGTAATTTTTGCCATGACAAACTGTTCCCAGAGTTTGTCATGCCACACTGTAATTGTTGGGGGAGTGGGAGATTTCCACAAGGTGGCTATGGTTAATTTGGCCACTGCAGGTAGGAATGACGTGAGGATCCTCATGTCCACCTCATTGCAGGGCTCTTTTTGTAGAAAAAGTCCAGCAGGAACGCATTAGCATAATAGACCACAGCCAAGAGCAGAAACTCTTTAGCATATTAGGCCACACCCCCTGACAACACAGCTCATTAGCACATTAGGCCACACCCCCATGTTACCAGAAGTGTGCTCATCCAGCCACACCCACCTTTTGCTTCTTATTCTGTTTACCTTGTTTGTTGTCAAAACCCAGGGCCTTTTTTTTGGAGCAGGAACTCCTTTGCATGTTAGGCCACACACCCCTAACGTAGCCAATCCGAATGAGTTTCTGCTGTTGGGGGTGGCCTATTATGCTAATGAGTTCCTGCTGGCGTGGCTAACTCGGGAGCCAGCCGGAACTCCGGTCCTGTGCGTTCCTGCCCAAAAATAGCCCTGGTGGAAAGTATCTCTCCCTGTCACGCGGGAGACCAGTGTTCGAATCCCCAACAGGGAGGCTCTATTTTACCTGACCTGGATAGTCGAGCTGTCGTCAGATCTCAGAAGCTAAGCAGGGTCGGCCCCGGTTCGTACTCGGATGGGAGACCACTGAGGAAGCCCAGGGTTGTTCTGCAGAGGCAGGCAAGGGCAAATCCGCCTTTTCTTTGCCTTGAAACCCCCACGGGGTCGCCATGAGTCAGCTCTGACCTGAATGGCACTTCCCACCCGCCACCATTCTCTTTTACCCCTTGCATAAATGAGACGGCGCATGCGTACCATGGGAGCGCCCCGGTGACCAATGATGGTGGGTTTGGGTGTGAGATCCTTCCTCTCCATGATGCAAGGGGAGTAGATGGTGAGGGGCAGGAGGTAAAGCCCAAGGACGACTGCAAAGTAGGCCGTGAACGTCAGCATCTGGGAACCTGGAGGCGAGGGGACACGCGAGAAGAAAGAAGCGGTGAAGCGGACGGACCGAGTCACGGGACCTCCCAGGAGATCAAGCTTACCAAAAAAAACAACCCAGTGGTGCTGGGAGAGTGCCCACGGCCAGCAAGTGCGTCCCACGGTGCATAGAATCATAGAATGTTAGAGTTGGAAGGTACCTTTCAGGTCATCTAGTCCAACCTCCTGTGCCCAAAAGTGACACCAGCATTTTCCCAGAGGATGCTGGGAATGCTCTGGCATTTGGGTCAAACACGTCGAGTTCTGCCCGTATGCCAAGGCGTCCCCAGCCATGTGCCAATATCACTTGTGTCGCCAGCTACAGCCCTCCCCGGAACTTAAGTCCCCTACTGGTTGACAGAGGGGTGGGGGAACCTGGGAACCCTACAAAAGAGGAGGAGCTTAGTCCAGCTCCTGACAGCTTTACTATTCATTGAACAGTGGTGATTAGGGATGGGCACAAACTGCATTTTTGTGACCCAGTTCATGGCTGAACCACAAACCAAACCACGAACCTGTAAGAACTGGGAGGTCGGTTCGCAAAGCTTTGGGTGGGGAGCAGAAAGCAGGGGTTTAAATAGCTCTGATCCATTTAAACCAGCCATTTAAACAGAACAGCTGAGTGGCAGGAGCTCCTCAGCACTCAGCTGTTTTTTTGTGAACAGCAGAAAGCAGGGGTTGAATCTCCTGCTTTCTTCTCTTTATGATCCACCATGAACTGCATCAAAATTCATGAGAGTTCGTGGCAGTTCTTCAGTTCACGAACACTGCTTCAAAAATCATGAATGGGCCAAAATTCGCGATGAACTTTAGTTCGTCAGATGGTTCGTGCCCATCCCTAGTGCTGACAGACCCAGAACAACGCAGCTCAGTTTCATTTATGCTGAAAAATAGCGAGAGAGAGAAAAATCTCTGTGTATGTACATCTTGAGGAGCCCCCAAATCAAAGGCGGCTTCCACAGGGAGGGGGATTTTCTGGTTTCCCCATTCCCAGCTGCAGAGAAACCACAGCAGCAACAGGGATTCGGGGTGGGAACGTTCCTCACTGTTTCCCTGGCCTGATCCTTCCAAACTGGCCGCCCACCCTCCCCGAGGACCCCGTTTTTATAATCTTTTGCTGTTTTACTGGGGTCGCACTGTTCCACCTCCACCCACGTGCCCCAAAGCCAAAAATTAATAAGGATTTTGGGGAGGGGAAGGGGGAAAATAGCGATGTTATCATACGGCAGGAGACTGGGTGGGGGCGTTCGACCCCTGTTTCCTCATCACCATTTTCCTCCGCTGGAAGGTCACACATTCTTTGCCGCTTGGCAATGACCTCCGTTCAGACACCGAGAGCGGCTACGTAGGGCCAGCGCCCGGAGATGGAAAGAAAAGAGAAAACTTGAGAGAGAGAGAAATCACGACTCACCGGCTCTTTCTGGTCTCGCGACCTGCCCGGATATCAACCACGACAGAGCGGTGACGGCTACCAGGGCTCCGATGTGCAGAAAGGGAGCTGTGGCCTGGGGGGGGGGAGAAAGAGAGCGGGAGAAGCCGTTGCAGGAGAAATGCATCTTGTTGCATGTGGCACGGTGAGAGAGACAGACAAAGCAAGGCAGAAATCAGTCAAGAAATATAAAACTAAGAAGGGCTAACTCGGAATGCTGCTGTCCCGGAGACCTCTGAAGCTCAGCAAGGGCTGCAAAGAACTAACAAAGTGAATACCTATAGGCAGGGGTCATTTCGTAGAAAAAGAGGTGCAGGAGCTCATTAGCGGAACTCATTAGCGTAACTCATTTGCATATGCCACACCCCCTGACATCACTGGAAGTGTGTCAGGAGGCAACACCCACCGCTCAGGCTCCACTGGACTGTTTTGGATTGCTAGCTATTTTTGGGGGGGGTACACGTGCAGATCTGTCCTTGCAGAGGAGGGAGAGCTTGTACCTGAATAAAACTTGGTCTTAAAGGTGCCACTGGACTGTTTTAGACCAGGGGGCCGGGGGGAGCTCTGCAACTTTCCTGGCTGCTTCTTGCTCTGACTAAGGGCTGCTGGGAGCAGGGGGTGGGGCTTGTTGCATGTGCCCGCCCCCTGGGCTCTTTACTGCCGGAGCTCTGCTCCTGTGTGCTCCTGCAGGAAATGACCCGTGCCTATAGGCATCTATGAAACCAGAGTAACCAGAGGAGACTGCCTGCTACATCTCTGCGTGATTCACTGCTTTGGCCTTCCCTCCTTCCCATCAACCTTTGCTGGGCGAAGGCAATTCTTGCTGGGGTGTGGTTGAACTGGTGCCATTCCACCCGACAAAGCCAAGAGGGGCATTATTTGCCCAAGGGCAGGCCTGCACATACACATATTGAGAGGGTGTGCAGCGCCCTGATAGGGCAGATAACACCACCACCACCCCAGAATCAGGACCCTGCGGTGCTTCAAGAATTGGGCTCCCACGGGGAACTCACAGCCTAGCTATCCGGCTGCCAGCCCCTTTGGCGATCACGTGTTACCCATGACATCTAGACTGGGCCTCAGTCGCTTACGGTCTAAAAGTAAGCTTCTCTGAAGTGAAGCAAACCTTAATTTGTATTTCAGAAATCGTAGCCAAGGCAGAAGTAGGGAAGCATACAGAGATGCGGCAGGCCGGCTCATCTTCAGGCAAGGTGCTTTGGGTCTGAGTTATCAGAAATTTGGGAAACGCTAATCAATAAGGTGGAAATACGAACCACTCAAGGCTTCCTTCCCAGCTACCACCTACTCTTTCTGGCTAGGCATTGTAGCCATTAATTTGGGGAAGGGATTTGCTGGCCCTAAACTCAGGGAAGGGATCCCCTGCCCCTAAACTGCAGCTACTATGCTTAGAAGGATGCAAGCAGAGAAGCGCCTTTCAAACTCTTACAGACAAGAGTACAGGTAGGCACCGTTCACACAAGAAAAGCAACCCACAAAGACAAAGAGAGGCCCGGAACATCGCCATGGCAACCCCAGCCTCAGGGTATGAAGTGTGCGATGTTTTCCTGAAAGAAAACTTCATCATGCAACACAAAGGCGCTTGCATAAGATCTGCCCTGCCTGGTCAGGCCAACCGGCTCACGGAAGCAACTCAGGGACATTCACAGGTGACCCGCGCCTGGGATCCAGAGGCGTGAGGGCCTTCAGGCAGACCCGGATGACAGGTTTACGTTGGTTAAGTCACTATTCTCCCTCCGCAAGAAAACCTTGAAACCCCCAAACTGTCACTTTTGTGAGGAAGGAGAGGCGTAGGGACGAGGGACCTTGAAGAGAGAATTCTCACCCAATCCAGCATTCGTTGGACGGGTAATTTATTTTATTATTAGCTGCTGTAGATTTTCCCGGTTGTGTGGCCGTGGCCTTGGCATTGTAGGGCCTGACGTTTCGCCAGTAGCTGTGACTGGCACCCTCAGAGGTATAACACAGAAAGACGGAGTACTCTCTGTGTCAAGGTGAGAAGACTCAGCCCTACCCCACCTTCCTGAGTAGATATAAATTACCTGCCTACCATTTTTCTTCTCACCTTGATACAGAGAGTACTCCGTCTTTCTGTGTTATACCTCTGAGGATGCCAGTCACAGCTGCTGGCGGAACGTCAGGTCCTACAATGCCAAGGCCATGGTCATGCAGCCCGGAAAAATCTACAGCAGCTAATGAACTCCGGCCGTGAAAGCCTTCGACAACCTATTTTAGTATTATCTTTGTCAGCAAGTCAATTCTGACTTATGGCAACCCTGTAAGGTTTTCAAGGCAATAGATGTTCAGAGGTGGTTTGCCCAGGGGTCATTTCCTGTGGGAGCGCACAGGAGCGGAGCTCCAGCAGTAACCCCCCATAGCTAGCAATCCAAAACAGTCCAGTGGCACCCTTAAGACCAAGTTTTATTCAGGTACAAGCTCTCCCTCCTCTGTGAGGGCAGATCTGCATGCCCCCCCCCAATAGCTAGCAATTCAAAACAGTCCAGTGGAGCTTTAGCAGTGGGTGTTGCCTTCTGACACACTTCCGGTGATGTCAGGGGGTGTGGCACATGCAAATGAGGTATGCTAATAAGTTATGCTAATGAGCTCCTGCACCTCTTTTTCTACGAAATGACCCCTGGGTTTGCCGATGCCTGCCTCCGCATCATGACCCCGGTATTCTCCGGAGATTGCCCTTCCAAATACTAGCCAGGGCTGACTCTGCTTAGCTTCTGAGATCCGATGAGAGTGGGCTCATAAACCCATCAGTCACCTAGTCACTTGGGGGGGGGGAGTAATTTCTGGCACTGTACACCTTGTAGCAATGAGTTCCACAGTTTAATAATGCATCACATAACACAGTGCTTCCTTTCTCATCTAAAAAACAATACTGCCGATCCACTTCAGGGGATTTATTTTTAAAGAACCCCGGCCTGAGGCGTCTCAAAGCCTTCCCTTCCTCTCCCCAAAACAGGCACCTTGTGAGGTAGGTGCAGCTGAGAGAGTTTGGAAAGAACCGCGACTGGCCCAACGTCACCCAGCAGGCTTCATGAGAAGGAGGAGTGGGGAATCGAACAGCCTGCCGCTCTTAACCATTACAGCATCCTGGCTCTCTCTTTTGAGAGAAATGACCAGTTTAGTGTAGTGGTTCAGTGTGCGGACTTTAATCTGGGAGAACCAGATTTGATTCCCCGCGCCTCCACATGCAGCCAGTTGGTTGACCTTGGGTCGGTCACAAGGTCTCTCAGAGCTGTTCTCTCACGAGCAGTCCTTGAAAGAGCTCTCTCATCCCCACCTACCTCACAGGGTGTCTGCTGTGGGGAGGGGAAGGGAAAGGAGATTGTAAGCCGCTCTGAGACTCCAAGTGAAGGGCGGGATATAAATCCAATCTCTTCCTCCTCCTCCTCCTCCCCTCCATGAATCTCCCAAGCATTTGTGATTCTTAGAGAGGCTATTTTTAAAAGAAATGACTGAGATGTACTCGGAGGGTCTGGCGTGATGTGGTCCATGGGGTCGCGAAGAGTCGGACTCGAATGTGTGCCTGAACAGCTACAGCAACTCCCCACCCCAAGCGCGGTCACCTACCTGTAACGATATTATGACCATGTCCCATTCGTCATCCCAGAGCTGAGCTATTGAACACATCGTGATGACGGTGACTATAAAGGTGGTTATCAACCCAATCTGCAACGGAAGAGGGAGATTCCATTTTATATTTCTTCCCCTCATACTTACGCACGCCCCTCCTGTAAAGAGGAGAAGCATTCAAGACAGCTTTTGTGAATTTCAAGTTTTGGGTGAATCAGAACTCGGGACCCGAGGGGGAAAAACTTAATTTACTGAAGCCAACATATGGAACAACTGGGCTCTCTGATCCGTCTCTTTCCACCCCTCCAAGGAGCTCAGGGCAGAATACACCGCCTCCCTTCCTCCAGGTTGCCCTCACAACAACCCTGTGAGGTAAGGTTAGGATGAAAGGGACTAACTGGCCCAGGGTCTCCCAGTGAGCTTCACGGTGGAGTGGAAACTTGAACCCGGATCTCCCTGCCGGTCGAACCAGCTCTCTGTGTTGCGAGGTATGGATTGGCTCCCACTAGAGTCGAGATTCCGGATTGGCTGCCGTGCCACTGATTCAGGGCTCCTTCCCAACGGCAAAGCAGCTGCGTATGGAGAGCTGAGGGTCCGGTGAGAACGGGAGAATCTGAACCCAGGACCGCAACTTTGGAAATGATGTCAGTTGTATAAGGAGGCTCCCTGCCTGGATTGCGAAACCAGTGGTCACAAGCCTCTCGCCGGGGGGACCGGCGGCCACGTGGAGTGATTCGAAGCAGGGGCCCCCCAATCTTTTTGAGCCTCGTGGGCACCTTTGGGCTTCTGACATGGCGTGGTGGGCAAAGGCACAGAATGACTGCCATGAAATGAATGCTGCGGGAGGTGGAGCTGCCGGCCACAAAACGGCTGCCACCGCTGACTTTCAGCCACACCGTGAAGATCCTTGTGCTGTGGGGGCAGCTGCTGCCAACGCAACGTTTTTAAAAAGCAGCCCGGCCAATCAAATCTCCAGTGGCCAATCAGAAGCCCTGCTGGGCAAAAGAACCACTTAGCCCTGCCCCTTGTTGGGCATGTTTTCCCTTCACTCCCACAATTCTGTGAGGCAGATTAGTCCGACAGAGAGCACTGCTAGCCCAAGGCCACTAAGGGACATTTTGTGGCCAGGAGGAGGATTCGAACCCGCGTTTCCCCAATCCTAGTCCGCCCAAATGCCCAGGGGATTGTCTTATACCGAGGGGGAACTAACCTTGTGGATCCAGTGTAGGTTCAGTTGCTGTCTCACTGCTATGTGACATAGTGCTAAAATCTGGAAACAAAGAAACAAAACAGACATCAGAGGCAGGAAAGTCAATTTAACCACTGACGGCACATCAGCCCCAGGAAACGGCTTTAGTAGAAGCAGGCACGAATATGCCGTGACCCTTTGCTAATGTAGAAGTAGAACATTTTCATGAACTGGATCTACTCTGGCATCCTTTGCCCTGGTCTGATGCCTCGGGATGGAGAGAGCTAACAAAGAAAAAAAATCTGTCCCTCTCCCAAAATACTAGAACCCGAGGGCCTCCAATGAAGCTGACGGGCAGTAGGTTCAGGACAGACAAAAGGACATAATTCTTTACACAGCGAGGGATTAAAACGTGGAATTCACAGCCAGAAGATGTAGTGATGGCCACAGACATACAGGGATTTAAAAGGCGATTTGACAGTTTCATGGAGGAGAGGTCTATCAGTGGCCATGGCGACTAAGGGGAACGTCCACATTCAGAGGCAGTCACTTTCTGAATCCAAGTGCCAGGAGGCAACATCAGGGGAAAGCCTCGGCCTCTCTGCCCTGTTGTTGGCCATGCAGAGGAACTGGTTGGCCCCTGTGTGAGACAGGATGCTGGACTAGATGTAGCCTCACTGGTCTGATCCAGCAGGGCTCTTCTGCGGTTCTTCGCAGGAGAAGGCCTCGGCCTCTCTGCCCAGTTGTTGGCCCTCCAGAGGAACTGTTTGGCCACTGTTTGGGACCGGATGCTGGACTAGATGGACCCTCACTGGTCTGATCCAGCAGAGCTCTTCTGAGGTTCTTATGAGGGGATGGCCTCGGCCTCTCTGCCCTGTTGTTGGCCATGCAGAGGAACTGGCTGGCCCCTGTGTGAGACAGGAGGCTGAAGGACCCTCACTGGTCTGATCCAGCAGGGCTCTTCCCAGGTTCTTATCAGGGGAAGGCCTCGGCCTCTCTGCCCTGTTGCTGGCCCTCTAGAGGAACTGGTTGGCCCCTGTGTGAGACAGGAGGCTGCACTAGATGGATCCTCACTGGCTGATCCAGCAGGGCTCTCCTGATGTTCTTCTCAGGGAAGGGCCTCGGCCTCTCTGCCCTGTTGTTGGCCCTCCAGGGGAACTGGTTGGCCATTGTGTGAAACAGGAGGCTGGACTAGATGGACCCTCACTGGTCTGATCCAGCAGGGCTCTTCTGGGGTTCTTCTCAGGGGAAGGCCTCGGCATCTGTGCCCTGTTGTTGGCCCTCCAGAGGAACTGGCTGGCCCCTGTGTGAGACGGGAGGCTGGACTAGATGGACCCTCCCTGGTCTGATCCAGCAGGGCTCTTCTGAGGTTCTTATCAGGGGAAGGCCTTGGCCTCTCTGCCCTGTCTTTGGCCCTCCAGAGGAACTGGTTAGCCACTGTGTGAGACAGGGGGGAATTTCAGACAGGCGATATCTCCCGGTAGGGAACCGATTCTCAACCGGGTTCTG